GGCGGGACTAGAACTCACCGTCTCCTGGTGATTGGCCCAAAGTCACCCAGCTGGTTTTCATGGCTAAGGCGGGACTAGAACTCACCGTCTCCTGGTGATTGGCCCAAAGTCACCCAGTTGGCTTTCATGCCTAAGGCGGGACTAGAACTCATTGTCTCCTGGTGATTGGACCAAAGGTCACCCAGCCGGCTTTCATGCCTAAGGCGGGACTAGAACTCACCGTCTCCCTCCTTCTAGCCTGGTGCTAGATGGCTCAATGAAACTGGGTCATTTACCTCCCAAATTTCATTTGCCCCCCAAAAAGATACCACACATGCGTCATTTCCTAGCAGAGACCCCTGCAAGGGGAAGCAAAAGGTCAAACAAGTATTGTGCTATGATGACATAGGCTCCGCCCTTTTTCTGCGCCCATCAGGCTGATAGTCATTTTGTCATTTTGATCAAAGCATCGGATCCTGTGGTTGCTTTCTAAGATATGTGTGCGGTGATGTAATAGCAATATCCTGAGCAGGGTTGGACTAGATGACCTCCAAGGTCTCTTCCAACTTTATTATTTATTATTATTATCCGGACCTTAAGAACAGATCAAAACGACAGGTAATCCTCAGCTTATGACCAGTTGCTTAGTAACTGGTTGACGTCATGACAGACTCCCCAAAAGGTACTTAATAATAATAATAATAAAGTTGGAAGGGACCTTGGAGGTCATCTAGCCCAACCCCCTGCTCAGGCAGAAAACCCTAGCCTAGACCATTTCGGACAAATGGCTGTCCAGTCTCTTCTTGAAAACTTCCAGTCTTGGAGCATTCACCGCTTCTGTAGGGATGTGGGTCTCTAAATAGGTTGTTCATAGTATGTTTAGGTGTGCGTCATGTATGTGTTTCACTTTGAGAGCGGGCAACTAAATTTCATTTTTGATGTGTGCCGTTGTGCCCACAGTAAAAAAAATGACAATAAAGATTTATCTTATCATCTTATCTTATCTTATCTTATCTTATCTTATCTTATCTTATCTTATCTTATCTTATCTTATCATCTTCTGGAGCCAGGTTGTTCCACTTAAGGGTCATAATGGTATAGGATTTCCTGCCTGAGCAGGGGGTTGGGCTAGATGACCTCCAAGGTCCCTTCCAACTTTATTATTATTATTATTATTATTATTATTATTATTATTATTATTATTATTATTATTATTATTATTATTAGATTCAAAGTTACGATGGCCGCCTCCCCTCTTGAGTCACATGATCCCATTTGGGGCACTCGGCAACTGCTTTCGGGGTCCCATTGTCCCGTGACCACAATTGATGATATATTTTTTTTCTTTTTTGCCAGAAACTAGCTTTTATTTCCACTTCCCAGCAAAAAAAAAATGTCCATTGTGAAAACGGGTTCGCTTAGCGACTGCCACGTTGACTTAATGACCACTGCAAAAAATGTCATAAAATCATGTCAGCCGTCTGGGTGCCTGAACCTCTGATGACCGTGACATACGATAGAAATTCCGGCTTTTGTTAACTGCCATAATTGCATAGACACCTTTTTATGCTAGATTTCTGTTGTGACGTTCATCCAGAATGCTTGGAATGGAAGTTGCCAGCTGCCTTTGTGAATCCTCTCCTTTCCCTCCTTTGCATGACTGCAGTTGTCAGAATTCTTTTCCGGGCAAGGATGATGGTTGTCAAGAATCTGGGTGTGTATTCAACAGCATTGAAATTTA